CGTTTTCGACGAATTCCTTTCATTTTTTCTTTATGACGGCCCACTTCACACCAATATATAAATTGTATTAGTACGCAAGATCCCTACGAGTTTGATTTTGGGGCATGCTTTGGAAGGAAACTGTATTAGCATTCGAATAGGAATTGCCCATGCAATGAATTGTGGTCAAATATTCGTAGTGTATCGGGCCGAATTGAGAATTTACACCGCACCATCCCATACCGCCGCAGAGCTGTGTTGCGCGCGCAACGCGTGCTGCGCTAACTGGTTTTGTATTAGGTTGTAAGGAAAGTTCTGGCCGTTCGCGCGCGTTTGCCATATAAAATCGATATTCGTCGTGTGTTCAATTATACCAATCAACATCTTGTGCCACCTAGGTAAACAAAGAGTTGCTCTTTCTAAAAAACACTTTCCCCGAAATTCCATAAAGTTTTGAAAATAATGGGGACGTTTTCTTGCAGCATGGATAAGACTGCTTTTCAACAGTTTTACTTCATGAGTTCAAACTTGGTCGAACGGCAACGGAGGCAACCATAAATGTGAACAGGGCCTGGGTAGAAGACACTGCATCGGAAAGAACGGCTCCTCGCTGGTTTCAAAAGATAGAAATGAAGACGATTCGCTGGAAGGCAAAGAGCGAACTGGCCGACCATCGCTGGTTGAAAGCACTTGAAAAAGATGGTCGTCAACCTCTGAGGGAGATCGTCAAGAATGTCGGTGTTTCCCATACAGTTGTTGCTGATCACCTTAAACAGCTTGGAATGGTCAAAAAACTTGACAAATGGGTGCCGCATCACCTCACGGAGCAGCAGCAGTTGAGACGCCTGGAGGTTGCAAGTTCGCTCCTAAGAAGGAAACGCTATTGATCCCTTTCTTCATCGGATCGTAACTTGTGATGAAAAATGGATACTATATGATAACAAAAAACGTTCTGCTCAGTGGGTATTCAAGATGAACCTCCGAAAACTTTTCCAAACCAATGTTCACACGTCAGGAAGACAACGATCACAGTTTGGTGGTTTCAACAGGGATTAAAGGAATCTTCCACGGAAAAAGCTCCGCCCTCATTACCACAGAAAACGATACCTTAAAGGAATCTTCCACGGAAAGAGTGATCATTTTGTCTTGTGTGTAGGATTAGTATTATCGAAACTAACGCTTATGTTCCGTTCTTTTTGCTATGCTCATGAGGCTAGGGGCCTAAGGTATCGTTTTTCTGTGGTAATGGAGGCGGAGCTTTTTCCGTGGAAGATTCCTTTAATTCACTACAGCTTTCTTCCGCCGGGTCAAACCATCACAGCACAGTCCTATTAGGATGGAATTGATAAAATGTACGCGAAATAGGAGCGGGCTAGTACTCCTAAATCGCCATGGTCCACCACTTCTGCACGACAATGCTCCACAAATCGAATTCCAGAAGTTGAGCGAGTTGCAGATCGAGGCTTTCCCTCATCTCCGTACCCACCAGACCTAAGCACCAACTGACTTCCATTTTTTTAACACTTTGACGACGAGCGATTTTTTCCTTGTCGCGCGCATGGGACGAGGCGTTTTTTT